CACGACCGGACCCAAAAAAAATGTCAATAAAAAACAGGGCTGGAGGCATGATCCAAGCGGTAGAGCACAAGGCTCTGTGTTCAAACATCGGTATTGCAAAAATAAGTGAATTGATTTTCTATTCTTTAAAATATATCTGAAATAATTTTTTAACTGTATTTTTTTGTCTTTTCTTTTTTGGTACTGGGGATCGAACCCAGGACATTGCACTTGCTAGGCAAGCGCTTTGCCACTGAGCTACATCCCAGCCCTATATCTGAAATGATTTAAGTTGGACAAAATAGTCTCCCGTATAAACACACACAGACTTTTCTAGCAACACTTAGCTTAAATATTACAACGGCGCACAAAAGAGGCATTCTTTGGCTAAGTGCTGTGCTGGCTGTACCCTGTCTGCTTTTCATAGACAGTGGGTATCTTGGCCCATCCCAGGTAGACACCCGCAGGGTTCCGTGGGGACTGAGAACGGGGCACGGGCATGCTCCTGTCCTTCCCTCATCCAGGCTGTCGGTCCTCGGTCCTCGGTGTGAGGGGCTGGGTGTGTGACGCAGAGGCGTGGCTGTCACCCTCCAGAGCTGTCTAGTTCCCGCCGGCATCCAAGACTGCAGGTGTGGGGACAGCCTGAGACCACAGGCACGTGGCTTCCATGCAGGGATCGCCCTGGGGGACCCCTGGGGGCTTGCGCCCTGGGGACGCGAGGCTGCGCGGTACCCACCTGGGCGGCAGGGGGAGCACCAAGGAGGGCGGTGCCCACCACACAGCTCAGTCTAGCCCAGGGTTACCTCCGGCCAAACACAGATCAAGAACAGGCGTGGCGGCAGCACGCACTGACCTGCAATGATAACAATAGATCACTTTCATTGGGGCTGGGAAGGTGGCTCAGTGGTAGAGCGCTTGCCTTGCATGCATGAGGCCCTGAGTTCGATTCTTCAGTGCCACATAAGCAGAAAAAGCTGGAAGTGGCGCTGTGGCTCAATGGTAGAGCACTCGCCTTGAGCTGAAGAGATGAGGGACAGTGCCCAGGCCCAGAGTTCAAGACCCACGACCAACCAAAAAAAAAAAAAGCAATAGATCACTTCCATCAACATAATAGAAATTCAAGATCTGTTGTTCATCATGAGTCCCATGTGACGTCTGTCTACCCACAAGTTGTTCACTAGTGAGAGTTATAGCCCCTACTTAGAAAGTTCTGAATTTCACGAAACGAAATATAAAAGCGAAACGATGACAATGTTTACCCATCAAGTCGTTGCCTTGATGGATAGCATATTCAGGTAGGAAGGAATCATGACTACCTCACACGTGTTCTTGGCTTTTAGGATTCCCCTGGACTGAAACAAGCCTTTTGCTGATTTTTTCCCACTGGTTCCAAAAGAGGAGTCTGGATAAATTTAACTTCCAGGTTTTCCTGTTATGCCCCATCGTTACAGTAGCTCTGCTGCGAACATCTATTAGTGGATTGAGAATCTTAAAAATCAATCAAGGTTACCACGGCTTACACCTGTGCGTCTGTTTTCTTCTCAGGCAACTTGAGCTTTGAGGATGAAGGTCGATTCTCGGACCTGCAAGACTGAGAGCCCGCAGGTGGCACGCGCCAGAAGTCGGCCTGATTTACCCTCCCCCCCCCCGCCTCCTCCCCCCACGGCAGGTGCCGGACAGATGTTCAGTTGTTTGTTTATGGTTGTAAATAAATCTCCCGTTGTCCTTTGGTTCTGGTGGAGCCCCTGCCTTCCCTTCTCAGGGCTCCGCCCGCTGGCTGGACTTTGTGTGATGACAGGGACCCGGTGGCCACTCTGTGGTGGGGGTTATGGGATGTGGGCTTCCAGCTAAGCTACGAGATGCTGCTCCCCCCCCCCCCCGCCAGATGAGGAGACACCTGGAAGACAAGTGGTACGGTGTGCCCTGCTCACGGGCCAGCGCCGGGCATGCGTGCAGGTGCCGGGGCGGGGTCTGCGGGGAGCCTTGCGGAGCTCTGCCTCCCCTCGCCATGAACTCCAGTGCCCCCCACGGGCCACCCGCCAAGGGACAGGGCTGCCCACAGGCCGGCGTGGGCTGTGCACCCGGCCTCAGGCTCCCTCCCCGCCCCAGCGTGTCACGTGCTGCTGTGTGCTCACACCCAGCCTCTGCTTTCTCTCCCCGGAGCCGTGTGCACCCCTGCTGTAGCTCCCGGGGGAAGTCTTACACCCTCCCCGGCAACCCTGCAGCCCATCGCCCATCCACCTTCCCCTGCCCCTTGGCTCCTCTGATGCCTGGTGTGAGCCCCCGCTTCGCCTCCTCTCCCCCAGCCTGGTGTGAGCCCCCGCTTTGCTTCCCCTGGCCCGGTGTGAGCCCCCCCCCGCTCCCTCCAGGCCAGCGTTGGAGTGGGTCATGCGTCGCAGTGTGGGTTGCATTCCTAGACGTGGTCCTGCGAGCACCGTACGCTGTGCACCTGTGCTCCGGTCTCTTCAGGCTGAAGCACCCAGCATTACAAGCAGACATGAAGCGCCGGCCGCAGACCCCGTGTGTACCACTTTATTGACATTACAGCTCTTTCAGTGGGCGCGGACTCGCCTAGAGTGACCGAAATAGAACAAGGAAAAGCAACCAGGCTGTACCTCACCAAGCGCTTAGAAAATCAAGCACCCGCGCCCTGGTCTGCAGAACCTGGGAAGGAGAGTCCGGGCCTCCTTCCTGCCCGCCAGGGTGCAGGTTGTCGTGGTGAGCTGGGCGAGCATGCGTGGGGGCGCTGCTCTGCGCTCCTGCAGCTCAGCCCCAGCACAACACGCCCTGGGCGGCGCAGTGGCAGGGCAGGACCCAGGGTCGGGATATCCAGACGGGTTCGTGCTTCTCCAGGTCTCCATCCACTGCACACCATCAGCGGGGCCAGGTGGCTCTGCCCAAAGTCAGCACCGCCTCCCCACGGGGGGGGGGGGGATGAGGAGGGGCAGGTTGGCTCAGTGGGCTGAGATCCAGTTCCTCCAGTTGAAGGCCGAGTTGGCCCCATGTGTCAGCGTCTTCACCGGCGGGTTCACCAGCTCCCATCGGCCCTGCTCCTGGTTTTCTTCGCAGAAGCACATTCCCAGAGAAGGGATCTGGAATAGAGTGTGAAAGCCATCCTAGACCAAGCCAATCAACTTCGGAGTAGCTCTACACCATCGGCAGGCCCTGGAGGGCGCAATGGTCCTGCTTTGGAATCCAGGCCTCGGCCCTGGGCGATGTCTGCCGCAGTGGGGGCCCAGTGCAGGTCAGGTGGAGATAATACTCATTGTAGAATACACAGGACAGCCCTCACCACCCGCGTCTGTGCCGGCGGCGGCCCTGCTTCCACCCAAGAGGAGGCTCCACAGAGGGTGCCCTCCTGAGTTCTCAGACCACAGAAAAAAGTACAGGCCAGACTTTCGGACTCCATTTCTCCTCTGTGAAATGAATGGAATGGAATGGATTCCTGTGGAGACTTTTTTTTGGGGGGGGGGTTTGAAGCCAGGGCCTCTGACCAAGCCTGGGTGTCTGCCCCCTCCAGAGCCCTAAACCCCGAGATCCACACCTGTGGGAAGCAAGCGGAAAGCAGCACAGTCCTGTGGAGATTGTTTAGAAGGAGCCGGGTCAGTGGCCTACAGGCATCATCTATACGTTCTCTTCTTGTTTCTGATCGTTCTGAGAGCGCTGGGGCTTGAACTCAGGGCCTCCTGTTTACCAGGCAAGTACTTTACCACCCAAGCATGCCTTCAGCCCTTAGGCCCTAGTCTTTCAAATAAAAGGTCTCAGGCTTTTGCCCAGGCTGACCTTCAACCATTATCTTCCTATCTCTGCCTGTCCTCCAAGAGGCTGAGATTCTATGTCTAGGCTAGTCTGAAGTATGATTTCAAGTGATTGCCCTGTCTCAGCCTTCTGAGTAGCTGGGACACAGGAATGTACCACCACGGCCAGCATTTTTCCTTGTAAAAATTCATCAGTGTTGTATGAGAGGAGAGACAGCTAGCTCTCCTGTGCCAAGGGTGGAGGAGGACCCGACTGACAACAAGCCTGTTGCTTAAGACATTGATACCACTTTTTTTTAATGTGTGTGTTACTTGTTATTGTTGGTGTTGGTGGTCATAGGGCTTGAACTCAGGGCCTGGGTGCTGTCCCTGAGCTTTTTCACTCAAGGCTAGTGTTCTACCATTTGAGCTACAGCACCACTTTTTGCTTTCTGGGACTTTTCTTCTTGGGCTGGCTTTGAACTGCAATCCTCAGATCTCAGCCTCCTGAGTAGCTGGGATGACAGGCGTGAGCCACCGGTGCCTGGCTCCACGGGACGCTCTTGGGGTCCCTCCCAAGTCCCAGTCCTGGGCATGATGGCGGGGGCTCAGGGAGCAGCAGTAGGGTTCTTACATGGCAGCAAGGCCCAGTGAGTGGTGGTAGCCTGGCTACCTGGGGAGCTGGGGGCAGCGCCTGCTGGGAGGAGGGCGGAGGGGGGACAGGGCCTGGCCAGGCTGCAGCTTCCTGTGCTGATCTTCTGAGCCTGGAAGCGCCCTGCTTGGTCTGCACGGCCCCCTCCCTCTGGAGGCTTCCTGGAGGTGGGCACTGCGGCTCTTTCCTCACTGAGTTCCTGGGGAGGGCCCAGGGTGGGCGCTGAGGGACGGCTCCAGGTCCTCACGGTGGTGGCTCAAGGCTAACTCACACACACTCGGTGCGGAGCCCCAATGTGATAGAAAAGGCCCCTGAAGACTTGTGTTTTCCTTATGCCAGTACGGGAGCTCGAACTCAGGACTCAGGAGTGTTTGCTTGGCTTTTTGCACTCAAGGCTCATTCTCTACCGCTTGAGCCACAGCTCCACTTCTGGCTTATTTTCATTGGTAGTTAACTAGAGCTCAGCCTTGGACTTTCCTGCCTGGGCTAGCTTTGAACCAGGATCCTCGGATCTCAGCCTCCTGAGTAGCTGGGATTACAGGCGTGAGCCACTGGTGCCTGACATCAGTTTACTTTTTATTTTGCATGCATACAATGTATTTTGGTCATCTACTATTCTACTCAGCTACTATTCTTTCTTATTCCCCTTTGTTCTTTCTTAAAAACAATTTTTAGTGGGTTTGTTAGTCTACTTTCAAACGTGAGTTGTTTGAGCACTCATCCCCATCATCCTCTCTTCCCTAATCATCACCCCCAGACTTCTCTATCACCAGTTTCATGGCACTGGATCACTGATAAATTTGATTAGAAAATAACAGGGATAAGAATGGAGGGCAAGGGGCTGGGAAGGTGGCTCAGTGGTAGAGCGCTTGCCTTGCATGCACGAGGCCCTGGGCTCGATTCCTCAGCACCACATAAGCAAAAAGAAAAAAGCCAGAAGTGGCACTGTGGCTCAAGTGGTAGAGTGCTAGCCTTGAGCTGAAGAGCTGAGGGACAGTGCCCAGGCCCAGAGTTCAGGCCCCACGACCGGACCCAAAAAAAAAAAAAAAGAATGGAGGGCAACTCTGCTCCCAAACAGGTCTCCAGGGGCAGGGAAAGAGATAGCCTGAGCTGCTGGGCTGACTTTCTCATCCGTGTCTGCCTCATCCAGGGCTTTGCCATGCTGCTTTGTTGGGTGACTTTCCAGGTCATCCACAGTACCACTGTCCTCCTTACGATGGTTGTCTGCCGTCCATTGTTCAGAAATAACATCATTCCAGCCAACCGTCCAGCTGCAACCAGCTCCATTTGTCTTGGGACTGGTAACCCCAGAGGTGTGGGTGGGAGGTCCTTACTGTCCACCGGTGCCCCTCCCAGGCCCCAGAGATCTAAGTGGGAGGTCCTTCCTGTCCACCAGCGCCCCTCCCAGGCCCCAGAGGAAGCCAGAGCCAATCCAGCATTTGTCTTTTCCTTCCTGGAAGTGCTCACTCCTTACTGGACCATTTGTGTTGCTACTACAGTTGTAAGAGATTATATGGCAAACTGACTTAAAGAAAAGTCCTGCCTCTTGTTCTTCACACTGATGGCAACAATGGACACAGGTCGGTGCCAATCCACCCATCGGGCAGCCCCTCCCACAGGAGCAGGTGTCCCTGCCCAGGGCTGTCCCCCCCAGGAGCAGGTGTCCCTGCCCAGGGCTGTGTCCCCCCAGGAGCAGGTGTCCCTGCCCAGGGCTGTGTC